ACTGGGTACCGTGGCCTAGCACCTGCTCTCTGTTCATTTGAGCCCCCTGCAACCACTTCCTGCAGTTACTGCTGTTAACTTTGGGGCACAATTTCTTTAAGACTGTAATCTTCTTCTTCTTCTTCAGGGAGTTCTACAATCATAACTTAGTTTTCTTTTTTCTTTAATTATATCTTCTAAATACAGAAGTGACACATGCCTATTGTAATAAAATAAAAAAACAGATGTATGAGGTAACCATCATAAATGGTTCCTTCTAAATCTTCCCCTAACACACACACACACACAAACACACACACCCTATATACACTGTACCATACACACCTATTCTAGTATATGTGCTGCTGAAGTGAGCACTACCATACACACCTAAACATGGGCCCCTAGTTTTTTTGTTTTGTTTTTGTATTGCATATAAATGAGAGATCATACTAAGAAAAATTTTTGCATAAAATGCATCATGGATATATATATATAAAATAGCTATATATATTAATAATATAATGTATATATAATTGTTATTTAATGATCTATCATTTGGCTACAACAAATTTTTTCTTTTTTTCATTTCAAATGTTCTTGAAATCATACTCAATATTATAATTCCCTTTTTCACTTAATTTTAAATCAATCCCCATTTCAGTAAAGACTCTTCAAACATAATTTAAGTGTCTGCATTATATTTCAGAATATGAGTACATCACAATTTACAAATGTACTTTCTGCCAATTTGGGGCTATGAACACCACAATGAACACTATAGAGTATGTGACTACTTATCCTAATTGTCAGCTTCATTGGAATAAGGAACACCTAGCAGTAGATCCATAGAGCATACTAGGGTAGAATGGATGTGTCTGGGTAGGTCATGGAGGCATGACTTTGGGTACTTTATATGAGCCCTCATCTACTCCTGGTACTGTTCCTCTGCTCTGTTCCCTAGCTACCATGAGCTGAATAGCTTTGCTCTACCATGCCCTTCCACAATGACCTTCCTTCCTTGGAGCCTGCTGTTCTTGAACTGAATCTCCTAAAATGTGAGCCAAATTAAACCTTTCCTCCTTTAAGTTGTGAGTGTCAGGTATTATGTCTCAGCACTAGAAAAGCTGACTAATATAGATAATTAGTACCAGGAGTTGGGTTGTTGCTGTGACTATACCTGACCAAGTGGTTTAGAAGCCTTTGGAACTGGTTTCCTGGAGGAATTTGGAAAGGTTTGGAGATATGGGAGAAACCTTAGAAGGCTGTAAGTAGAGCCTGGTGGGTGATTCTGGCCAGAGCTCAGAAGAACAGAATGCTAATGGGAAGACTGACAGTAAAAGCCAGGCTCAGGAGATTTCAATTGGGAACAAGAACTCCATTGGCACTTCATAGAGACTATGTCTGTTACACTTTGGCAGAAAGTTTGTCTGTATTTTGCCCCTGTCCTGAGAGTTTGCAGGAGACTAAGATCAGAAGTGGACTAATAAAATTGGTAGGAGAAATTTCAAGACAGCCCAACATTCAAGCTGTGGAATAGGTACTACTGGCTGCTTTTAACTAGTTTTATAATGACAATCAGGGGCAAAAAGCAGAGCAGAAAATTTTGAAAAACTCAAATTTTGACCCAGAAGGAAACATGTATAAAGTTGAGGCCAAAGAACATATGGCTGCTAAAAAGATCATTACCATTAAAAAGAAAGCAAGTATTATTTTTTTTTTTTGATACCGGGGATCGAACTCAGGTCCTTGCGCTTGTGCAGCAGGTGGCAAAACCACTGAGCTAAATCAAGTATTTTTTTATAGGCACAAGAAGAAAGATGACTTGAGGACATCTCAGGAATCAACAAGACCCCACACATTGAAGGCTAAAAAGTACAAAAGTATAAACATTTCAATTGAGAAGAGAGTTCCTGGGACTCCTGCTTGAAAAGAGTGTCCTAGGGAATTGGTTCCCCAGGATTCATTTCCCCATGCTCAACCATCCGGGGACTCAGAGGCCACTGCAGCCATAGCTCAAGGGCCTGGCTACTGCTTCCACTGACAGCAGATCTTGGCATGGTCCACATGATGCTAGTTTTACTGGAATCCAAAATTCAAGAGACTCTGAAAAATGTTAGAACTGTTGAGACTTTGGGGAAGGGATTATATCCCAGCTATACATGGGATAGTTAGGCAGAATTATGAACTAGCTATTATCTTTATTTGGAGATAATTATGGTTTAAGAAGATATTTGGGGATGTGAAGTCATCAAGGGGTGGATTGTGAACATTAATCTTGATTGTAATCTTCATGGATTACAAAAAAACCTAGCAGATTAGTAGACCACCCTCCTATGTCTGGGTGGATCATGGAGGTGTGGCTTTGGGGACTGTATATGACCCCTCACCCTTTCCTTTCTGGCACCCTGCTCTGCTTCCCAGCTGTCATGAACCGAGCAGCTTTGCTCCACCCTTCCACCGTAACCTTCCTGCATTGGAGCCTACCAACCAAAAATTGAATCTCCTGAAGTGTGAGGTAAATTAGACCTTTTCTCCTGTAAGTTATATGTATAGACATTGAGTATTGTATCTCAGGAACAGGAAAGCTGACTAATACAGAGCATTAAGCTATGTCCACATTTCTGATTATTTTCTTTGGGATACAAACACTTTTAGAGTCTTTGTCCATGCTACCAAATTGCTTTTTCCAGAAGAGTTGCTCCCACCAGCAATGATTGAGAGAGGCCCCCACATCATTTCTTCATTGTTCACTAATCTATTAGACAAAAGTTGTATGATATCACTTTAATTTGCATTTGAGATTATTAGTGAGTTTAGGTTCTTTCTGGTTTGTCATCCATTCCTAACTCCTCTTTTAAGAACTATTTGGGTTCCACTGCCTGCCTCGCAAGCATAAGGACTCAAGTTCGATCCCCGGTACTGAAAAAAAGAACTGTCTTTGGGCTGGGGATTTAGCTCAGTGGTTTCACCGCCTGCTGCGCAAGCGCAAAGACCCGAGTTCGATCCCCGGTACCAAAAAAAAACAACACGCAAAAAAAAGAACTGTCTGGTCACATGCACCACCTCCATGCCCCCACCCCCCACCCCGTCCCAGGTCTCCAAGTTTCATTCCTCTGCGTCAGCCCTCGCTCACCTCCAGCCAGCCCAGCTCTGAGCCCACCCGCCCTGGGTGTTTATGCTCCACCCTTGGCTCCTAAATGGCCCTTTCCCTTCTGACTCTGCAGCCCCTGCCATTGCTCACAAGCCTCCCCCTTTTCCTCTATAGTCACCGGATGCTCTCTCATGGTTTCTGTATCCGTGGGTACCCCTTGCTCTGCCTCCCAGAAGCCCCCACACCAGAGGGCAAAACCACCATGTAGGAACCTAGAATTTTCTAGCAGGCTGGCAGAGACTGCTGTCTGTCTATGACTGGTGCTGACAGGAGAGGCCCTTGTCTCTGATCTGGGCTGAAAGTTGGGGGGGAGGGGCACCGAGGGGGCCTAACCTGGTGGGACTGCACAACCCTCTCATCTTTTCCTTCCCCACGTCCTCTCCTCCCCATTATTCAAACTCAAGATTTAATTTTCACAAACAATACAATTTGGTGGTTTGGGGTTTCTGTAAGAGAATTTCTGTGATCCTCCGAGCCCTGGGGTCTGTTTTCCCCTGTTGGAGAAGAGGGAGACTGGATGCTCTACAGACCTCATCAGGCTGTGGTAATAGGCAGGCACTGTGTGAGCAGCACACTGCAAAGCTGGTCCTCCTTAGTGAGATTTCACAGAAATCCCACTGGAGATTTTTTGGCCCCTGCCTTGTCTACTTTCCTTCATAATGATGAATGGCTGAAAAGAAAACTATCTAATCTCCAAACTGCTGACTTTTTCCCCCCTATTCTTTCTTCAAGGAGAGAAGGAAGAACACAGTCACATAAAACAGAGTCCTTCATCGCCTGCTTCTCAGGAGACGGTTCTTTCCCTTTTCATCCTAGGCCTGTTTCTGATCTGTGATGGGCTTGCACTGAAAGCTCCAGCCTGGTCCTTCTAATCAGCTGTGACAGACGCCGCAGTTGCTTGGGCTGCCCATCCGAATTGAATTGATTACCCGGCCCCTCTGCCATTTTGTTCTGTGCACAATTGCTTAATAGCTGTCACCTTGGGTTTCAGTCCTGGCTGGCTTCAGGCTGACTGGTTCCCATTACTCAGGATGGCCAGTGCAAGTTCATCACCTTTACAGGATGTCCCTGATTGATTCCGTATGCCTTGGAGACCTGCAGTACATTTGCATACGGGCAGCTGGGGGATGGAACAAGAATCGCATGGCCAGAGGACCTACCAGGTTTTCCCGCAGGGCTCGCCAGGTTTGACTCATTACCAGGACTTCTTGTCAGGAGTCTGGCCTCTGCTGACATAAGTGCTAATGAATTTGTAAATTTGTTTAAAAATACAAAACAATCCAGGCTGCTCTAACCTTTGCTGTCGCCACCTACCGCCCAGGTGGGGGCAGTGAGCAGAAACTGCACTTTTTCCTGCCTGAGCTTGTGCAGGTCTTTGAAGCAACTTACCCCCGTCTCGCCCCCTTTCCGGGTCCCAGGAGCAGGAGAACCAGGCTTGGAGGGAGACGTCTTTCAAGTGAAATCCTTTGCACTGGGAACTACTTCAATTAGACAGCAGGGGGAATGTTAACATGCCCTCCGGCCTTTTAAGTGGGTTTTAATTTTATGTTGTAAGATAAGACATTGCAAGGCTGGGCTGCTGCTCCTCCAGCAGGCTCCATTAGTGGGGCGAGCTGAGGCCTCTTGACCCTCTGAGGCCCAGCTGAGGCTGGAAGTTGGTTTGGTTTTTTAACAATTTGTCAGTCTGACCCAGCTTTGCTTTTTCTTTTCTCTTGTTATTTTGGCTCTTCTGTTGCTGAGAGCTGTTGGGTCAGTAGGCAAGCTGCCCCTAGAGGCCTGTCCCTGGGCTGGGAGCAGAGCCCTGGCGACCGCCTGCCTGTGGCCATGCAGCTGAATGGTAATCGGCTCTTTTCCTCTTTCCAGGCAGGGCACAGTGGCAGCAGACACTTGTCACGTGGCAGGCTTCTGGGCCGATGATGTATGACCTGCTGGTGCTACTGAATGGTGCCCTTTGTTCCCGGAGATCCCATGTGCCCCCTTTTTATGAAGTTGTTGATTCAGAGGGGCAGGAAAGCTCCACAAATCCCACTGCAGGCCTAGCTCTTGCCATGCCCAGGTGAGGCAGCGCAGGGACTGCATGTTTCCCAGAAAGCTGGTAGGAAGCTGTGGGCTCTCTCATGCCAAAATACCCCTTTAGGCACAGCTTTCTTTACCTTAGACTAAGCCAACTCACTGGAGAGCACCCAGAAAAAGACATCTAACCTTCTGCCCAAGTTCTAGGAGGTATGAAGTCTCCCAGACAGGGCACTAAGGTATGCAGTATTCCCCACAGGTTACCAGCTGCAAAAAAGGAGCCCCCTTCCCTGTTCGCTGGACCAAGAAGCCCAAGGTGGGAGCCAGCAGCTCAGGGAGGAAGGAACTTGGCCTCTATTTGCAGGACGAAATCCAGCCAGAGACCCCAGAGCCAGGTGGGAAGACTCCGACAACAGGAGATAGGGCTGACTTCTTAGCCAGCAGGAAATCTCTGCGTCCTGAGAGGATGAGGATTAAAAGGCACCCTTCCCCTGGCCTCTCTTCTCCTGGCTTCCAGACTTGGGTGAGCAGCCAGGAGGGCACTGGGCAAGAGGAAAAGGTACAAGCAAGGGGCACTGGCAGCATCTTGCTATACCTGCTTCTCTCTCATGCAGTGAGGTGAACCCAGAGTGGATTTCAGCTCATTCTTTATCTCTCCATCTTGTGGCCCAGCTTCGGGGACCTAGCAAAGGACTGGACAAGAAAAGGGCTTTGCCAGGATTTGACTCAGCCTTTCTGGCATGGAGACAGCTGATGGACCTTCATATCTAGCTGCTCCAGGAAGCCTCAGGCTCTGGCTCTGGTGCTGACCCAGTCTTAAGTTCCTTCTCCAAAGCAGCTGCACAAATCCCACCAAGAATTCTCTACCTGTGAGACCACTTCCCCCAAACTGCTGGGTTTTGTGTTGACTGCTAATAGGTAACAGATTCTTATCACCTGAAAATAAGACCTAGCTGAGAAAGATTCAGCCTTCAAAAGTAGAGATCAAAAATGCCAGCCCCAGGGCCTGGGATTTAGCTCAGTGGTTCCGGCACCTGCCTTGCAAGCACAAGGTCCCGAGTTCGATCCCCAGTACCAAAAAACAAAAAATGCCGGCCCCAATCAGCCTATTCTTGCCTTACCTGCCATCACTGTTCTGGCTTGGTAGCTACTCTGTAAGGCAGTCTTTCCCAACTAGGTCTTATTTTCAGAAACATGGTATCGTGAGCTCAAAGGTACACTGCTGACTGATCCTCAATTACTTCATTCTGAACTCAGAGGCTCTGTGGCACAAATGTTCATAGACACTGAGGGCCCCACCTGGCACTTGAATAAAAATACAAGCAAAAGGGGAGACAGACACCATTGCCAGGCCAAGAAATGACAAGCCAGTAATAAAGAGCATCCACACACGTCACAGTTGTAAGGTGGCTTTATGTTCGAATATGTAAAATAAAATGTCCATGCTATATAACAAAACACTTGAAGTTCCATATCACCTGTTAGCTAATGTGTTTTCTAATAAAGCTTTATCTGGAGTGTGTGTTTATATAATATATATGCTTTATCTAAACCGTTCTTATTTTTTAATATCAAACATGTAATAAAAATTTAAATAGATGTCTTTCCAAATACCCCCACCAGCATTCGTTTTTATTAAGTTTATTCATTTGTAAAAAGCAAAGCTGAATTTGACATGTGGCCCGCATTTGTGAGATAGATATATATATATTTATTCATTTATTTATTTATTTATATAATATATAAATAGCTATTCAGCATGCAAAGAGTTTAGTGATTTCCCAAATTTAATGTAGAGTTCACCCCAGCCACCCTGACAGTCTGGTGATGTCTGATGCTAGAGGACAGGAGGGCTGAGGAACAAGAGGTCAGCCCCAGGAGAAAAATGATCTCTGCTCCTCTGAGCACACTGGCTGAATTTACTGCAAAAAATCAATTTTTAAAACATTCTCTTTGGCACGTCTCGCTTCATGGGCATGGGTTTTCTGGGAGTGGAACAGACCCAGGGGAGACTGGCTGTGACAGAACTCCCAGGGGTGCTGCCAGGCAAGGTTCCCGTCAGGACCACTGGCTGCGGGTGCAGAGGGTACTGGACAGGCCAAGTTGTGTATCCCAGAGAGAGATGGCATGTTGGGGACCCAGAGGGGAGGGCTCTGTACTTTACCACAAAGCCTGAATGATGCCAGAGATGCTACTGGTTGCATTTTCCCTACTCATGAAGGAAAAAGGAAGAAAATATTTTAAAATACCCATGAGGTGGCATCTAGCACTTGACCCTCTCTGAAAGTCACCCCTCAGACCTTACAGCTCCTGGATCAAGCTCCAGGCCACCAACTGAGCCGTCAGCTCAAATCTGAGAGCACTCTCGAACTCGGAGGCACAGGGAGTCTCAGAGACTCTCCAAAGCCATAGGAGGGGTCCTGCGCTTTCCTTGTGTGTAGAAGGCCAGAACCCCAAGGTGTGCACGGAGGCCTCCCACCCAGGCGGAGGGAATCTCTCCCTGAGGCCGAGAGACTTCAACTTCTGGCCCCTGAGTGAATCCAACTGTGTTATGAAAACCTCTAAATAACTCCAATGAATCCTCCACTCCTATCCTGAGCCTGGGCAGGTCAAGAGATGCCAGGTAACAGAGGTCCCAGGTCCTGCAGCCAAAATGACTTCTTAGATGATTGGGGTTTCTCTTGTCCTGGCCTCAGCTATGTGTCAGAAGGTAGATCCACACACATGCATTTGCACACACACACACACCCTTTGAAATACCTTCCTGGGTTTCTTGGTGTTGCGGGCCACCCACCGAGGTTAACACTGATTGACAGGTCCTGGGGCTGTCGGGGAGACATGGCAGTCATCCGTCAGTCCAGTTCTCCACAGTCCCCACTCCTGAATGATACTGTAAGGAAGATTCCCGGGTCAAGGAGAAGCCCTGAGAGTACAGAAACTCATTGGCAGCGTTCAGGTGTGGAGAGGACGGCTTCCTCTCACAGCCCAGGGGGAGGCCGCGCTCTCTGGGGAAAGAGGCCGTGGGACCCCGCTCCCGGACCTGAGACTGTGACAGCTGATTGTAGACACTGAAGTGGGCGTTTCCTGGTGGCTGGGAGCTCTGAGCGGAGATGGTGGGCAGCCGAGGCATCACAGTGGTGGCCGTGAAGTGCGTGGGGAAGGGCTGGTAAGGCACAGTCTCCATGGTCTGAACGCTGTAGCTGGTGTACGGCGAGACCGACGTCCACATGTTACAGCTCAGCGGGGGTGGGGGCAAGTCGTCCACCCCAGACACCCCGGCAATCTCGGGCCCAGAGCCTGAGTACATACAGGCTTCTCTGGGAGTCACCTCGCTGCAGTAGGAGGGGCTCAGCATCTGTTGGTCGTAGGGAGGGGGAGAACGGAAGTAGTGATCCTCTGCCACGGAAGAGGGAGCTTCCAGGTAGGATCGCTTGCAGGGTAACTCCAGGTGGCGGGCACTGTCTGCTGGAAGACAGGAAATATTCAGGAAGAGTCATTTTCACCAGCCTTGGGCCCAGAGCACCCCAATGGACGGCCTTGTGTTGCCCTGTTGCTCCCGGAACCATTTTAATCAGCTACAGCCTTTACAGGTGGCAGCAGTGAGGAAGTGGCCAGATTATGGACCCTACTCTAAGGCCAAGGGGGACACCACATCACTAGACACCGAGTGACGTGCTGAGCCAGGCTGCACGGAGCTCTGATCCTTTGTCAGCCTGACTTGCAGGGTGGTAAGAGGCCTGTTGTGCACTGGATTCTCAGGCCAGGCTGGCCCTGGCCAAGGAAAGTGGAAGCAACTGCCAGGCCAAACCAGGCCAGGAGATGAAGTGTCTGAAGCAGACAGACAATTAGAGCCATGATGTCTCTGCCTCAATCTTTGCTCCTGGGGAGGGCTGAGGTTAGCTGGAGGCAAGTTTCTGTTGTTTTTGAAAGAGGAAGTTAACCCTACCATGTTCAATGAAGACCCATCAGACAGTTATTACACAGATCCCAACACAACTGTGTCCAAATAATCAAGAAATGGAGTCGAGTTGAGCATGGTGGCACATACCTGTAATCTCAGCGCTTGAGAGGCTCAGGTAGGACAACTACAAGTTTGAGCCCAACCTGGGCAACTTAGTAAGACCTTGTTTACAAAAGAAGAAGAAAACAGGCTGGAGGGAAGCTAGGGATGTAGTTCAATAGGAAGGCCTTGGGTTCAATCCCCCCCATATAGCAAAAAGCGGAAAAAGAAAAAAAAAAGAAAGAAAGAAAAGAAAAGGAGCTGATAAGTGAAAAGGGTGATTTTTTTTAGTCTAAGTTGATAGTCTGGAGAAAGATGGCATCAGGTGCCACAAATCATATCTGAGGCTCTTTCAGCATCTTCAATTATGAGGCCTTCACTCTGGAGTGCCACACCCTCCCCTGGGATCCAGGGATGGCCCAGCCCTCGGGCTAGAGGAGCAGCCCACTCAACAAATTGCAGAACACTTGTCCCTGGCTTATCTTGGCCCCCTGCCTTCTGTTTTCTCCAGGGATTCATTCTGGGAGCTGTGTAAGTACACAGGGCAGGGCGGCTTGGGCGAGATAGAGCCAAGTTCAAAGCCTTTACTCGCCTCGCCCTTTGGGCATGGGGTGGGGGGCCGCTCACCTGCCAGGGAAACTCACTGCTCTCCCTCCTTTCTCCTTGCACTCAGCTCTCGGACTTGGCAGGTGGCCTAGTCACTCTAGGTCAGGAATGAGCAAAGGGCCAGAGAGTAACTGTCTTAGGCTCTGCAGCCCACACAGTCTGTGTTACAAGTACTCGGCTCTGCTGCTGTCCCATGAAAGCAGCCATAGGCAATGTGTAAATACATGACATGGCTGTGTTCCAGGGAAACTTATTTATGGATGCTAACCTTTCAAATTTCACACAGTGTTCTCATATCATGAAATAACCTTCTCTTGGCTTTTTTCAACTACGTAAAAACTATTTTGATCAGGCAGCAGCCTCGCTCTGGTCCAAGGGCTGCAGTGTGCTGACCCCTGGGCAAGGTCACTGAGTTCTAATGGGGCTTACGCAGAGAATAGTTGGAGCTCTGCCCATGTGGTTCCTAGGAACAGGGCTCAAAGAACATTCTGGATTATAAGGAAAAGTCCCTAGACTCGTTCCCAAGAGAACGTCAGTGGCCTGGTGAGGTCTTCCGGCGAGGCAACACTAGTCATCCCCATAGTACACATGGAGAAACCGAGGCCTCGCAGCAGAACATGCGGGGTTTTGGTTCCCAGTCCATGGCTCTTCACAAAGCAGCCCAGTGTGCAGAGTGCTGTTGTCCATCTTCCTGGTCCCTAGTCTGCTTCTGAAATAGCTCACTTCAGCCCCTAAACAGTCCATGCAGTTAGACAAAGGCGGAGAGCGCGCACACGGGCCTGTCGGTCTCCCTGCTCTGTGGCTGAGGCTGCTTTGATAAGTAAAGTGCCAACCCAAGACTGTGTGGGCCAGGAAGCCCCAGCTTCCTCCTGAGCTTCTAGGTAGAGCCCAGCTGGCTTTGTGTCTTCTTCCCACCCCACAGCATCTCCCAAAGCAGTGACAGCAAAGCAACACCCGGAACTCAGGGCAGGGGCCCAGCATGGGGTCGCCTTCTGGGCAGGTTCCAACGGTCACTTAAAGAACAGCATTCCTGCATGGGGAAAGGTGGCCCTGGGCCCACCCATGGCCCCCACCCTCAGACTGGCTCCCTGGTGGAGCCCCCGGCCCTTGCGGGGTTCTGGACCTGGGTACCTCGTCTCTTCAGGCAGTGATAGAAGAGGCCAGAGTCCCGCTGGGGCGGGAAGGAGTTGAGGGGCAGGTCCTGTGGCTCAGCTGCCGTGAACTGCATGTGCGCCCCGTTTTCATACTGATAGTGCTGCAGGGCCTGGTGGGCGCCGTGCAGGGGGCTGACGTCGGGCTTGGCGGACAGCTGGCCGGAGACGAGCCTCTGCCTCATGATGCTTTTGGAAATCACGGGATACTCCTTGCTGGAGGGGTGGAGAGCACAGGTGCAGAAACGGGAAGAGAGTGAAGATGCTTTGAGGGCTACCCAGTCTGTCCACCCTTCCCCGGGGCGGGGGCAGTCCCACCTCTGCAGCCGGGCCACACGCAGGTCACTGTCGTCACTGCCCCGGAACCCCTTGGCGAAAGGATTGTTCTCAATTTTCAGCTGTGTGATCTGTCAGGAGGGGACACACAGTAAAGCTGCTGGGAGGAGAGGACCAGGCTGCCTGTGCACCCCCCGCCCCCCAGTCCAGACACACTGAGCACTCAGGGGAGGCTGGGGAAGGGGCAGCCCTAGGACAGCGGGGGCTCGCGCTCAGTCCTCCTTGGCCTTGCTGCCCATGCCTGTCTGGTCACTGACTACCCTCGATTATGCTTGTTCCAGTCCCAGAGTCTGCCTCCTGCACCGTCCACCTCTCCTGCGGCCCAGATACAGCTTCCTGCCATGTCACCACACCTAGTACAACTGCCATCAGGTTCTGAGGGGCTATTCTAAATGCAAATTTGACTTTGTCACTTTTCTGCCTAAAATCCACCACAGCTGATGGCCCTGCCCACCTATCCAGTCCCAAAGTGCACATGGTGAAAAACATCCTGACAAAGAGGGCAGAAGCAAGGTAGAGAGGCAGCGGGAGGGCCCCTGAGGACCCCGAGGGGATGGCTGGGGCTGGAAAGGATGAAGAGCGGGGCAGGGGTGAGTGACATCCAGGCACCTGCCAACTAACAGCACCAGGGACTCCTCTCCTCCTTCTCTGCCCTGCTCTCCAGGCCCAGAATCTGCCTCTGCCGGCACCCACAGGAAGCGTAAAGAAAGGGGCCTAGCACTCAGACAAGGCAGGCTGCAGGCTCCCAGGCTTCACAGCTGCTGGCTGTGGGCTTTGGCCTTCCCTGGGCTCCTAGTTTGGCTCGGTGGCTCTGGGCACCAGGAACCGGCCTTTCTGCCTTCTGCACCTTACCCATCTCCCCAAATGCAAAGACTGTGTCTTGTCTCTGCTCATCACTCGTTGGTTGGGCTCACTGCTCTGGGGGACATGGCAGGCTGGGAAGCCCCACAACTCTGCAGTAGCGGCAGGCACTCGGGGAGCAGGGGGTGCACTTGTACCTTGTGATTCTGGTAGGAGGTCACAGAGATGAAGGAGGTTTCTGGGAACACGTGAGTGCAGAAGGCTGTGTTTTTGGAGCCGAAGGCGTTGTTCTCATCGGCTTTAACAATGTGGAGCCGGGGCTGGTACTTGTGCATGGAGTTGAGGATGATCTGGAAGGGAAGGTTGTCGTACTGAGCTCCAGGCCCCCACCATCTGCTCCTTGACTGAGTATAGCTGGCCCCGGGCTGGTTTCCTCCCCCTAAAAGCCTAGGCCCCAGGCCTAACCACCAGGCCTGAGCCCAGAAAGGTCTGAAGCTCCCAAGTGAATAACCAGTCACCTGGACCCCAGCTCTGGCCTCGCAGTTCCACGGAGCCCCAGAGCTCCCTGCTGTGACTGATGTTCACCCTGGGTATGAACACCTCAGGAAGAAGTCCTCAGTTTCAAAGCCCAGTGAGTGAAGCATAGTATAGTTGCAGCACTTCTGAGTTGGAGGCAGAAGTTCAGGATGCTGCTGACTCACTGTGTGACCTTCAGACAAGTCACCCAACTTCTCTGAGCCTCATATTCAAGTGTTTAAAGGCATCATAGTCTGTAACTTACTTCCCTCAAGTGTCCCCCTCCAGGGTGACCTGTCTTTCCTAGAAATGCCTACTATGAGTGCCGGGCTGCTTCTTCTCCCATCTGTCAGAGCCCAAGGCTTTGCAGGACGGGGAGGGGACAATCAGAGGACAAGGCCCAACTCTGTTTTCAGAGTGTCCCTCATTCTCCGCACTGGGTGTGGGGAGACCAGCTGCAGCTGCTCTGGGACCGACCAAGCAGCTCCATCCTGCAGGGAGGGTCGGCACAGGCCATAGTACAAAGTGGGAGGCCAGTGACGTTTTGAAAATAATGCCAGAGAAGGCTGGAAGCTCGGGCACCCCAGGGCCACAGGAGGGGAAGCAGGTAACCCCAGCTGGACAATGCTTACTTAGAGAGGCTCGGCCACTGGAGCCCGGGGAGTAACACACGGTAGTTGTTGCTGCAAACTTGATTGGTTTCTTTCGCTGTGCCCCACGGTAGCGGCTCCAACATGTGCCATTAAAATGTATTTTTTATCGTTGACATTTGCCAGACGCCCTCCCCATTGGAGGCAGGACCAGGAATGTGGAGCATTTTATCAGCGCCTCTGCATCTCTTAACCCTTTTGTTTCTGTCCTGGCTAGGGTTGCCCTTGCCCTTGGGTCCTATCCCCTCTGAGTTACTTCCTCCCTGCCTAAGGGTGCCCCTTCCTTGGGTTGGCCTTGCTGGCTCCCACCCTTCCTGGTTCCCAGGGGCCAGGCCCCCTGCTGCAGCTGAGTAAGAGATTTAACCCTTCTGTCACCAGAGTGTAAGAGAAAGGCCAGAGTCTGCCTCTTCCATGGCAGGCTTGGCTAAAGCCTGAGGCCAGGAAGGCTCTGCTCTCAATGTGCCCTGTGGGCAGGAACACCCCAGCGAGCAGGCTCAGCTAAAGACGAGAGTGGTCTGGTGGTCTGGTGGCCTGGGAACTGGCCGAGGCCTCTGCTCTTCCCTGGCTCCTCCATTGGCTCGGTGGCTCCAGCCAGCAACCACCAGTCTTCTGTCCTCTGTCGCCACTTGGTGACAAGCTCTGGGCCCTCTTGGGCAAGTAAAGAGCTTCCCAAACCGCAAGCCAGGTCCTGTAGCTGAGGGGCACTGCCCGTGCTGGGGCCTCTCAGAGGAGAAACTCAGAGCAAGACATCCTACCCTGGGAGGCCTCAGCCCATGTTCTTGTCCAGAAACCACAAAAATTGCCACAGGGAGAGGAGCTCATCTTGGGCAGCTCCTCCTAACCCCTGTAAGTCCTCTGTCACCCTGTAGGGTGTACCAAGCCACAGGAGCCCACAAAGAGCCTCAGTTCCCTGAAGACCTAGCAATTACACATCCAAGAGGGGCCCAGATCGCTGCCTCCTAGAGGGTTTTAGCACACCCTACTGTCCTGATTTTTCTTTCCCATCCTCTCACTTTCTAGGCCTGTCCTCTCTTCCGGGAAGGCCCAGCCCTTCTAGGAAACTTTCCCAGGACCTAGGGCCGGCTCTGAACTCTCAGTTCTGAAACTTCCTCCCTGTGCATTGTCTACTTGGCTGCTTCCTCTTTCTTCCAATTTCTTTCAATTTTTATTCTTTTCATTAGTGCACATTTGTGGTAAATGTGATCACATCCCTCATGGGGAGTTGGTACATGTACATAACACATCCTAACTCTTCTATTTCTCCTTTGCCTTCAGTTAAATGATAAAATCCTCCAGAGAAAAAGGTCCCTATCTTTCATTCCTTTTGCTACTCCAGGCTCCTTGGCCCTAAGACGGGATCTACTAAGTATGGGGTGGGGCTTGAGAGTGGGAAGATTTGGGCCATGACTACAAACCCCCTGTGGGAACCTCGATGAACTCCTCCTCTCTGGTCTTTACTATGCTCACTTGAGACAAGATAATCTCTGAGGCATTTTTCAAGCCAAAGATCAAGATGAAACACATGCGAAGAGAGTCTTTCTGTGGCCACTCACGCTGCCCTCCTCTGATGCAGGACCAGGCCCTGGTCCCTCTGGCTCTCCTGGGATGACAGCACAATGAGGGGACAGAACAGTGGTGACAGAATCCCAGCCCACAAGCATTGACACCCAGCGAGGCTGTGTAGGACCCTCGGGACAGCTGGACAGTCCTTGTCCAGTCAGATGGCAAGGCATCATCGCTGGCTCCCCTTCCCCTAACTGTCACCCACCTCCAAGTCCATGCAGTGACAAGGTCCCACGGGTCTATGAACAAAAGCCTCTCCTTCCCCTCCGCACACCCTGCCCAGGTCCCCACCTCTGGCTGGGCTCCCCTTGTCGTCTCTGGCTACTTCCTCAAACCAGGCCACTCTCTTGCTTAGAATCTTCTGGGCCACCCAGGAAAATGGCACATTGCTTTCGAGCAGGCCCTTTGTCGCCCCTCCTCTTGCCTCTGTGTCCTCCAATGCCACCCCTGCCCTCCAGTACTCAGTAAATGCCTTATATTCAGAATGCCACCTTTAATGGTTTCCTCCTGCCCCTTGGAGTAGGCCAAAGGCCTGATAACTGGGATGAAGACCGCCAAACATACCTTCTAGGGGAGAAAGGCAGACTGGCTGGCAGAGAGAGCTGGGAAGGGAGAAACTGCCAGGAGAAACCATGAGGAGAGTGTAGGCTTGGCCACGGAGAAGTGAAGAGGAGTCCAGAGGCTTCTGTGCGTTGCTGTGTCCTGAGCAAGCTCTTTCCCTCCGGCCACTGAGGTCCCCACTGGAAAGTGGGGCCTCTGACAAAGTGGTCCCCAATATCCTTCCCAACTCTGAGAGTCAGGAACCTGGACCGGCGTCTAGAACAAAGCCTTACTGGTTGAACCAACGCAAATGTAAACTTGAACCTCAGTCCCATCAGCCTGGGAGAACAGAAAACCAACTGGGTGACTGGCTTTTCACAGAATTTCCTCACACACCACATTCAACTTCTTTGCCAAGCTTCACACTTACATTTGCTGCAGAGCACACTGGGCCAAACGGGCCTGCCACGTCAACAGCCCTGCTCCATGACTGGTCCCGTCATCATCATTGTTTCACAGAAATGGGATTCATTATGTTCTGGCCATAGTTCAAAAGCCCGTTCTATTTTAACGATGGCAATAGCACCAAACATCCAACTCCTCAAGTGCTCGTCATAGCGTGCTTGGCCACAGAGGCCGAGATTCATCTCCATTGGCAACACAGAACACTGGGGCGTGGAAAGGCAGACCATAAAGGCCATCCTAGTCCAGCCCCCTAATTTTACAGATGCGAAGCAGAAGGCTTAGAGTGGGAACGTGACTTGCCCAAGGAGCCATGGCTGGTTAGACACGGTCTGAACGAGTCCAAATGGCCTTTGAGAGAGCAGGTGCTGCTCAGCCAGCTCAGGAACTAGTGACAAGGTCCTAACCACACAGTGTAGTGGACGTGGACCCAACAGGCCCTACTGTCTGCCACAGAACACAGCCTATCTGGATGCCACACAAACGTGCGGCTGATGTCCAAAGTGGGCTAATGTCCATTTTGGTGTATATGAAAACCAGATTTTTATTTAAAAAAAAAAACATATTTACCCTGCATTATAATTTTATCTTCTAAAGACTTTCCGTCATCCTTCTTAACTTCCCTCACCCCATAAAGAGGTTAGGTCAGAGACAAGTTCTGCAGCTTAAAGAGAAAAGAAAGAAAAAACAAACAACAGCAACAACAATTACAACAACAACAACAAAACCTCTGAGACTCAGAGAGGTACAGGACTGGTCTAAGAAAAATCTATACCAGAACCAAGGCAGGTGGCCCTTTAGCCCACTCAGGAGACTTGTCTGATAGGTCTTGGGTCTCACTCCCAGGGCAGCAGCAACCCAGGGTTCCTCCCACAAGGCCTGAAACCAGAGAATGCAATGCCAGCCAGGGTTCACAGAGTACATACTATGTGCCAGGCCCTGAGCTAGGTGTTTTATATACATCTTCATAATTAATCTTTCTAATATCTTTACAAAGTAGGCATCATTGTTCTCCTCATTTTAACAGACAAGGGACTGAGCACCAGAAGGAGAGGGCATTTTCCCAACAGCAGACAGGAGATCTGAGGCAAGGCTAGAATCAGTATTAATTTCCAAGTTTGTGCTCCTCCCTTTACTTGCCTGGGGAGAGCAGGCCTGATCTGGATTTCTAGGGCATCTGTAGCTTCCCAAAAAAACATCAAGAGCTTGGCACATTGTCAGGGCTCAGCAAATGAGAGGGGAAAAAAAAAGAGAAAAAGGGAGAGACACTGCTGTGGGTCACCACTGGCAAGTTAATACCACAAAGTTTAGAAGAACATCTGCCTCCAGCAGAAAAAGGGCCACCCTCTTCGGCAATTTGCTTATTCACTTGCTGTCTACCAGCACCCACTGGTTTTCAGACACGGTCCTAGGCTCTCACATATGATGGTGAGTAAAAACCTCATAGTGCACTATCTAGTGAGGAAGGCACACATTCATCCAAAAAATCAAGCAAAAAGAAGTGGTGAGAAAGTGGCTGGAAGAAAGACCACACTCACAAGGGCAATGCACAAGATGACCACCCACCAGGAAATGGGCAGGGCCTTAAGAAAGATTCCTGGAGGGCCAGGGATTTAGCTCAGTAGTTTTGCCACCTGCTGCTCAAGTGCAAGGACCCAAGTTTGATCCCCAGTACAAAACAACAACAACAACAAAAATTCCTGGATACACCTGATGGACGAAAAGGTAGCTGCAGCACAGAGAGGGGAGGTCCTATCACTCCTCCTGAAGTAAATTTTAAAGGAATTCCAATAAAAATACAAAGAAGTTTCTTTTAAGACCACAAGCTGATTCTAAAATTCGTGTGAAAAATGGACTAAACCAGCCAAGAAAAATCTGAGGAAGAAGAACAAGTAGGATGAGCCTTCCAGACATATTATAAAGTCTCCACAGTCAAGGACAGGAACTGAGCAGACACAAGTTCACATGGTGCTCATCCATGCAGAAATATGGGGTCCCATGCTGGGGTCAAGGGACTCTTCAATTATTGCTGCTGGGACAACTAGAGAGCTCTCTAGAAAAGAGAAAAGAGTTGGCTTCATGTATCAAATGCCAGGGTGGTTCCCAAAAGGATCAATAGTTTAAATGTAAAAATAAATCCACAAAGTACTAGAAGAAAATTGCCTTCTAAAAAAGGAGTGGATACAGACTTTTGATTACTCAAAATCCAGAGTGTAAGAAATGTGTAAGTTCAATCAGAAATTTCTGTGTGGGAGCAATACTATAACCCAAACCAAATGACAAACTAGGAAAATGTTCAACTCATATACACATAGAAGCTAAATCTTCCTAATTTGTAAAAGCTTCCAAAGTTCATGAGATCAAAAATCTAAAAGAAAAATGAGCAAAGGATAACAGCAATTCACAAAAGAGGAAACACATAGGAGAAGATGCTTAACCTCATTCATAATAAAGGAATTAAAACTAAAACTAATAAGTAAAACTAATGTTAACATTTCCCTATCAAACTGGCAAAAATCTACAGGACTGCCCTCCTACCCTGCAGAACAGAGCAGAGCTTGCTGGGAGCACATATTGGTAAAACTACCATAGAGAACAATTTGGTGATATTTTCAAATTCTCAAATCGAAATACACTTTAACAGGTATTGCTCAGATATCCCCAGCACAGTGCAAAATGACATATGTCCAAGCTTAATCAAAAGAGGAAAAAACTTAACAAGACACTTAATTCCTTCAATCAGAACTGGCTACATAATTTATAGAACAATATGTGATAAATTGTATGCAATCATACAAAAGGAAGATGCACGCTTTCTATGAATGTAATGATCTCCAAGATATGTCAAGGTGCAAAGAAGCATTTATATAATCCATCATCAAAGAGAGAATTTGAGGTTATATATTCTATGTGTGGGAAAAAATGCTGAAAACAACAGTGGTTATCTGTGCTGACGGATGCAAGAAACCGGCTGGATGGGAAATGAGTAGAGAGACTTGTCACACTGAAGACATTTTTATTTATTCAGTGATTTATTTTTAAACCCTGTGATTATATTTCCTATTTAAAAATTAATTTTAGTTGGGCACAGAGGTGCACACCTATGATCTCAGCTACTTGAGATCTGAGGCTGAGGTAGGAGGACTGTAAATTCAAGACCAGCCTCGGCAACTTAGTGAGACAGTCTCCATGTAAAAATTCTTAAAAGCAGCTGCACACATGTGTGTGTGTGTGCGCACGCACACACACGTGCAATCACGCACATGCACTGGGGATGTGTATCAGTGGTATAGCACCTGCCTAGCATGCTTGAGGCCATGAGTTCAATCCCAGTACCCCACACACACACACACACACACACACACACACATGCACGCACGCATGCACGCACGCACGGAAAGAAAAGACAGGAAAAAGAAAAAAATTAAAGCTACAAACAAGTATCAAATTACAACTCTGTTAAAGTGCTTGGATGAGAAAGTGCACAGTGCTCTGACAGCATAGGACAGAGACCCTGCGTTTTCTCCCTGTGAAGTTGCATCTGAACTTAGATCTGAACTCAGGAGTAATTAGGTGAAGAGGGAAGGAAGATCACCCCAAGCCCTTGTGGCAGCAGCAATCTGGGCAGAATCCAGGCCTGACTTAGGAGCATCTAGCCGCATTGTTTCAGGGGCCCATTCTGAGGTTCAGCTGCCACGCAGGACCCGATGCCAGGCCCACGTCTTCACGTGCACCCTGGTCAATGAAGAAGCAGGCTTCGTGATGAGGGAGTTTGGGAAGAGAGGGAAACTAGGAAAATACACACCATCCCAAACTGGGATTTTCTCCTGGAGGCTTTCTGTGCAGGTGGCTTTGCAGCCAGCCTTGGGGATGAGGAAACAGGGTGAGCTGGACTCGAGAGTATCTAAGCTTGGAGGACACTGAGTCCAGCTGGAAGACCTCAGGATGATACCACAAGCACTCAGAGTGGTTCTCGACTTCACCACAATGGTCACAGTCCCAGCTCACACCTGGGTCTGACTTTTCCCAAGGAGAGATCCTAGCCCTTCGGTGGGGGCACAGTAGGCTGACAAGGGGTGGCAGGGAAACTCCCAAAGTCCACCTGGCTAGAGAAAGTTCCTTGAGGCCAGGAAGCTTTTAGGGAAAACTGAAAAGGAGGAAGGTGACTTTTTTACCCTTCAGTAGGGCTCACCTTCTTCACTGGCACAGGCCAAGGAGCAAAAGGCCACGGTCCCAGTGAGCTGCCTTGCCCTGACTTGGACAGGAAGCTAGTTCACCCTCCATAGCCCTTGTCTGCATGGCCAGAAACTGCTCCCTCTTCAGTGATGTTCCAGATAGCTGAAGATAACACAACTGGGTCCAGAAAGAAAGGAAATGGGGCCATGACAGTGCATTGCTAAGAAACAGGAGATGTGGGCTGGGTCCGGGTCTGAGCACCTGCTTCCTTTCTGCTAGCTCCCGGGACAGTCTCCTCCTCTCCCTGAGCTTGCAGCCCACAAATTGCACATGCTGGCTAAGTGTGGGGTGAAGGGAGAAGCGAGACTCCCTAATCTCATCCCTCAGGGGAGAAAGCGGAAATGGACAAAATCCCTGTGCCAAGAAGAGGTGAACCAAGGCAGGCAGGGCAAGTGCACCCCCAGCCTGTCAGGCAGCCCCACTGACGCAGACTTAAGAGTGGGTGCAGGTTTATCAACAACCCCTCTTAGAACCGACAAAGAGGCACAGAGGTGGGAAACCCTGGTACAGGGCAGCAAAGCTGAGAGTGGCCCTATTTCCTAAAGAAGGCCCAGCTTTTCAACCCTTGGGCCCACCACCACCATTTCCACAGGTGTTGAGGTGACCAAGAAGTCCTCTGAGGTACCCTGCAGCTGGGAATCCTGACAACAGCCAAAGCATCCAGAATCCTGTCAGAGCCTTGATCTCTAGGTCCTTCTGGCCACTGAAAGAGTCAGCTCCTGCTGAGCTCCAGACTCACCCCACAGTCTGTCCTGTGCAGTCTGTGGGTGTCTGACTTTAGTTGTGTCTAGGTTCCCCACTGCCACCCTGGAGGCCCTCCCTATACTTTCAAGACTAGTGCCACAGCCTGGCCCAACAGAGAAAGTCCAGCAGGGGTCAAGAACAGATAAACAGAAGTTAATTAGGCTGATGTTATCATCACTGCTTATTTAGGCATCATCAATGACTGAGAGCCGGCCACTACGAGAAATGAAAACCAGGGAGCTGCTGCTTACCAGCTACCTACCAATTACATTGAAATGAAGCATTTTCTAAGAGGAACTATTGTTCACAGAATCCTTCTTTGCACATGGCTCCCCAGAGGCAGAACTGGGGCACAGAAGAGGGAGCTGCACACACCCCGCCACCCGCACCCTGAGTGTCATGTGTGCAGCAGTGTCGAGCATCCGGCAGCCTTCACCACCCGTTATTCCACCTCACCCCTGCCTGGGCTTCCAGAGTAACCACAGGAGTCCAGACAGGCAGGACCTGAGCCCTGACAAAAAGTACCAGCTCCCAGGCTTCTGTTTGCCACACACTTGAACTAAAAATTTCCACATAAAATCTGGACCTGCCAGGGCCAGAGAGAGAAAGAATGAGCTTGGGGCGTCAACAGTAGCATCCTTGGGGCTTCAGAATCCCCTTCCTGAGAACCAGATCCCAGGCAGCCAGGAGCTGACCCAGCAGCCAGAGTGAGGCTTAGCCCTCCGGAGGCTGTGTGGCTGTCAGGCCAGCAGCTGGTCCGCACCAGAGAGGGGCTTCCCAGTCCATTCTCAGGAGGCTTGTTCTTCGTCCTTCTCTTGCAAGAACAGACTTTAGAAAACTGAAGCTGGGAGATTTGGCCCCTCAAATCATAATCATCATTATAGTTACTATTTATTTAGAGCCTCCCATCTGCAGAGTGCTTCTTGCATATTCTCTCATTTAAGTTTCACTAGCATGCAAAGTACATATAGTCGTCTCCATTTTCCAGACAAGGAAACTAAAGCTCAAAGGGGCTCAGACGCTGGTGCCCAGGGAGTGGGAGTGGAGTGTTTCAGCTGTCTGGCCACAAACTGGTCCCCACGTGCCAAGACCTGTGGCCGGACCGAGAATGGACCCTCCCCATCCCTGTCCCTACCTGTCCCACCCCTAGCACTGATCCAGGACTGGGCTCCAAACATGAGGCTTCCCCATTCTTACATGGCCAAAGGGGTCCAGGTGGTTGTTTGTCAGCTTCAGCTTCTGGAAAGAGACCAGCTGCCGCATCCAGTGGGCCCCCGTGGCAGGAGAATCCGGGTGGACATAAAGCCGTCCTGGCATAGCTGGCTCGGCCTTTCCAGCCACCATCCTGTCAACAGAGCAGACAGAGCAGCAGTAGTTGATTACATTAGGGGACTGGGAAGCCCAAATTCCCTGCATCCTCCGAGAGCACATCCCCATTGACCAGGAGGAAAAAGAGAGCTGCTGCCCTTCACGCCTTCAATTGAGGAGGTGGGGTAGGAGGGAGGACAGGGGACAGTGTTCTAAGGGGGAAGGAGTGGTTCAGAGCCTTTTCTACTTCACTGCAGCAGTGACCATTTACTTGAAAGACTGAGGCTATTCACAAAGATCCTGGGAGATTTAGATATTGTGTGTTTTTTTGATTGATGGTTCTGGGCATAAAACTCAGGGCCTCGTACATGGTAAGCAAACACTCTACCACTGAGCTACATCCCCAGCCCCTACATTTATAACTTCGCAATGTTATAAATTGTATTAATTGGAGGGAGCTTCTCAAAGGATCTAGAAAACTTTTAAATTGCTTGCCTCACAAACAATGGTCAGAAATGAACTGAGTTCTAACCTGGCTCAGAGGAAGAATAGAAACGTGACCCTTGCCAGGAACTGGCCACCAAATCCTGCCTCCTCTGCCCCATCTCTACAGGCCCTGACCCCACCATGGAGCCTTGGCTCTGGTCAGCTGCCCTCCCCATGAGCCAGTACTGCTCTGAGCTCCAGGGGCAGACAGGGTGCTGAGGAGCAGGTGTGCGGACCCTGGCCGACCCTCCTCTCCCTCTGCAGACCCCGGTACAGGCAGCAGATCTGAGGACTTAACTTGGGCCAGGGGAAGGGGACAGCTGAGGAAAGGCAGGTCCCAGGCCTCTTACCATTTGTTGTCACAGAACTTGTAGCGATGGTCATCTGCAGGGACGATGTCAATCAGCAGGATGTACTTGGTCTTGGGGTTCATGCCTGTGACTTTTACCTTGTAGCTGGGAAACATCCTCCTGGTGGAGCCAAGGGGTTGGGCAGAGCATGGATAGCACCGGAAGAGATGGCACAGAGTGAGTGAAGAACAGACTTTTAGCAAGAGACCCTGGCCCTCTTGACAGCTGTGTGACTTCTCCCTTTGCCCTTGCTGCTCTGCAGAGGGCTTGCCTAGCTGCTTTCTCCAAGCCCCGGCAGCCATCAGTCTGTCCAGGAAGACAGTATACATAATGTGCCCCTAACCCTCAAAGGGTGGGGCCTCCTGTCTGTGAACCAGTGAAGCACAGAGACAGGCCCTGGTCGGGATGTGTGGGAGAGGATCTCAACACCAACCTCGCCACCTTAATTTCCCTCCTGTCCGTACACAGCTAAAGCACTGGGGCACCACTACGGGGTGCCAGCGCAGATGACCTGGAAGCCCCTGTCAGCCGCTTCCATAATCAATGAGATGCCGCCTCTGGGTCAGGTCTGGTGGAACCCTCTGGGCCTTAAACCAACACCCAGAAACCGGAGGAAGCAGCTGAAAACCCTGCTAGGTCTAGACTCTTCCGGTGTGTTTAGCAGAGGTCCTTCTCACTGTGAATGTCTTCCCTGGCCTATGTGCTCCCTAACTGGGAATCCAGAAAGTTGGTCCAGGAGCCTCATGTACAAGAGTGTGGATTCTGAAGCCAACCTACCATGATCCACAGCCCGGCCCCACCACTGATGCCCCTGAGGCCTTAAGCAAATTGCTCCTAGATTTCTGGGTGGGTTACAAGAGTTGATTTATGACTATTACCACCAATCCCTGCTGGGCTTCATCACCGCCAGTCAGTGCTACGACCTACTTCTATGAAAATGGATTCACAGAAAAAGAGAGCTTTCCAATTCCTGCAGCCCATGCTGAGGCTGTCCAAGACCCTGAGGCTCAAGGAACATTCTAGAGAAGGACTTCCCCAGGCCCCTCAGCACACACACAGCAGCATGTACACATCCTGCGGGGCACAGCTCCCTCCCCTGGTCACCAGGTCCCTGACACTGGGCTTCACCAGAAGGGAACAGACAGAGCTTCCTCACATTCCCTCTCCATGCTCCCTGCCCCTTCTCACTTATCTTCCCCAGAAGTGATTCTCAAGAGAGAGGCAGGATCCAAACCTAACTGAAAACACTTAGGGAAATGGGAACCAGCACCCTTGAGCTGGTAGGTCCTCTGCCTCTCCAACCCAAGACAGTATGGGGAGCCTCCTGAGAAGTTGCCCTAGACATCTCTAACAGATGAGCATCTCTGTTTTGTGAACAAGTGTCCTAGCTTACCTGGGTAGGGCAGGGTTTCCAGAAAGGATCAAGGCCTCCGTAAGCAGGCAGACCCTACAGCAAGCCCCCAGGACCCTGAGCGGGAGGTTTCCACTCCACCCCAGCAGGGCCCAGCCCAGCCTATGCTGTGGCTCTTGCTGGGGGAGAGGCGTAGCACATTGCAGGGGCAAGCGCTCAGGCGCATGCACAAGAGCACAAGGTGCGAGTGCGCATGTGTCCATGTGTACGTGCCTGCAGGGTGGGGGGCAGTTCTAGCCGCAAGTCTAGGGACTTATAAACCGTGTGGAAGAATTTGTCTCAGATGTCAACTGAAAGCATTTTCAAATGTCCACCCCACCCCCTCTTCAAAGAAGGGGGAAGTGAGAGGGCTCAAGAACCCACTCCTTCCTACTTCTTACCAGCCCCCTGCCCGGCCTGGTGCCACAGCTAGACCCTGTGCCACCCTCTGTCCTGGCCCTGCTTCGAATCTGGTGGCTCTAAAGCTGAAGGGGGAGGGCAGCATCTGCCTCCTCTCCCTTCTTCCTGAGGGAAGGCCAAGAATCCTGTCCCCTCCTGGCCACCATTTTGTAACTGCAACAGAAATGGCCACAAAATGGGGCAGTGTTGACTGTGCTTTGGCTAGCCTGGCACCAGAGGCCTACTCTTAGACTGTTTCTCCTGTAATCACCCCAGAGGGCAACAGCAGAGGGCAGCCATGGCTTCCTTCCAGGGCCAGGGTCTACACAGGCCGCCAGGAGGAAATGGCTGACTGCCACTTCGTCCGTCTTAAAAGGACTCTGTCCTCCTCCTCTCTATTATACTTTGCCTCCGCAGCTCAGGAGGCTGCGTGTTTTGTAGAAGCCCTTTGAGGAGCCTGTACTCAGCTGGAAACTGGTATCCAGTGATCTGGCCCTTCCCAGAAGATGACCATGAACCAGATTGCTGATGGATAAGAGTCTCAGAGAGGCCCTGATGCTAGGACATTTCCCCACCTAGGAGGCGCCAGGAGGATGAAGGGCTGGCCCAGGCTGGAGGGGGAGCTGTTCACGAGGGCAAGGCACGCTTCCATCCGAGCCATGGGCATCTGCCCTTGGTTACCCAAAAGGCTGAAGCTGGAGGCCAAAGGCCTGGCTTGGGGGTGTTTGCCAGGTTAGCGCGGCTCAGGAAGGAGGAGGGCTGCCCGCTCGCTCGGGAGCTGCCACTTCCTCTGGGCTCTAGAGGCAAAGTGAAGGGCTTCGCTGCTGAAATGTATGAAACCATGGAATGAGCCCTAAGTTATGGCTCTGATTTATGATATAAAATGTACCTGAAAACCAACGCCCTATGGGAAAGGGACCCCTCCGCGGGCTGGGGCGGGGGCCGAGGCTGTCCCTGGCCCGGCTGGCCCGTCCTGGCCCGTCCTGGCCCGCGCTCTCCCCGCGCCCGGCCAGCGTCCCCAGAGCCTTCTCACAGCGCCCGAGCCCCCTCTCCGCCCATCGGGCAGAACCCCAGACAGATGGGGGCTCCCCAGCACCCCACACGCAGAAACAGCCCCTCCAGGGGATAAACAAGCCGCCCTCGCAGACGCCCGCCCTGGAGCAGATGAAAGGTGGGGTCTCTCTGGTCCTGAACCGGGCTCCGAAAGAGTGCGTGCGGGGCTGGAGCCTTTATCTGCCTCAAACTCGGAAATGGTTTTCGAATGAACTGCTAAGTTAAGCTTCCTCCGGGGCTCGGAGGCTTGCGGGGCCCGGGCGAGGGTTTAGGGGGATCTTGATTGGGGCCACAAATCTGTAAACGCGAAGTTACTGCTGAGAGGGGAAGGTGGCGCTGGCTGGGCTCGGGGCGGCGGCTCCGGGTCAAAGTGGCTGTCACATTCGAGGTGCTGGCCCTCTCGGCCCCCTGCCCATGCCAGGGGAGAGGGCAGAGAACAGCAGACCTAGGGGCCCCAAGCCCCAGCCCCGCGCATCCCCGACTTCCCTAGGAGTTAGGGCTCCAGGAGTAACTACTTTGCCTTCCCCTAAATACAAGCGCAAAACCAAATCGCAGGGGTGAGAAGCTGGAAAGCAGTGTTCAGAGGGTCCGCAGTGGTGATTGGGGGGACGCACAGAGCCCTTCTGGGGGCTCCCAATGTTTTCTCCCTTTACCTGGACGTGTGTTCGTTTTGTGAAAATCTATACAGAGCTGCACGCTGAAGATTTCTGCACTCTTCTGCAGAAATATTCTACTTCAATAAAATGTACATTAAAAATCACATATGGTTACACCCACATGCCTTCGTGTCCAGAATCTAAAGGGGAAAAAAAATGGGCTGCAGGGAATAGGCAGGGGTCCTCTGGAAGCCCCACCCAACTTCTATCCCTAATGTCCGGGGTCTTCCGAAAAGCCAGAGCCAGCAACCGAGGCTGAGGTTAGGGTGGGGCTGCCGGGGCTGCCCAACCTGGAGCCAGATGATCCTGAGAGTCCCGCTTCACACATGCGCGTGCGCACATTTTTAAGAAATATTTTCCCTGAGGGAGGGGCAGGGTGAGGGTGTGTGGAATGGCTGTTGTTTGGGAAGGTCAGTTTCTTCTCTTAGATTTTTTTTTTTTAAGGCACTTCCTTCTGATGGACTTTTGCTTTCAGAAAATACTTTAAGAAGAGATCAAAGCACTCTCTCCCCAACCCACTTTCCCAGTGTCTTCAGCCCTTACTTCTCTTATCATCCACGCCACTGGGCTCTGACGCTCTGTATACAGAGCAAGGGCAATTGGCTTTGAAGCCCCGGATTAAGCCTGGCCAAATCCTTGCCTCAGAATAACAAACAATACAGGTTCAACAGGAGTTCTCATCGGTAGTTCATTTTTCAAACGCAAATTCACTGTCACTAACACAAGCAACATTGAACTCAACAGGCTCTGAAGGCTGAGAGTGGAGATTTATCTGGTGGCAAAACCATGACCTAGGAGTAGGGCAGTCAGACAGTTAGGAAATTTTCATCTTTGGGAGGTTTATATTTGAATTTTTGTAGCGCTCACTTTTATCTGTGTTTGAAAGAAAATCCAGTTTCTCACATGTATCAAGCTTGGCAGGGATATAAAGAGGCCAAGACAGAGGTCTGCTCTCCGCAGGAGCCCTAAGGGTATGGAGGCCTGGAAGAGACAGAGATTGCCCGGGGAGGGGCTCGCCACCACCCCTCTTCAACACCTGACGCAGGGGGTCCTGAGTGTTTAGAAATTAGTGTTTCACCCTGTGCTTGGCATTTATTCGTTAGATGCAATTGGGAAGTCAATTGCTATCCAATGAAGGGGACTCTTCTGTCCTTTGGCCTTCAGTCTTTCAAGGATGTAGTGGGCACAGGCAGGAGGTTTATGACCCAGGAACTCAAACTGGTTTGAAAATACTCTAAGTGCCCTTTCTGCAGGGCCCATCCTCCCACAGCCAGACAGCAATACTCATGTCCCCCACCCGCCAAGGTCTCTAACCCAGGTTGAACAGTGCTCTGTAAAAATTTAGGGTCTTGTTCTGGGGGTGAGGTACATCATCTGCTTGGCTTGTGTGGACTTGGCAATTGCCTAACTTTCCTTCTCTGGGGTTTGGTTTATGTTCTCTTGGTTCCCTTCCAGCCCTGGCAGTCAAGGAATCTATGATTCAAGGTTCAGGAGAAAGGTCCAGGCTATCTGCTGAGAAATGAAAGTCTTCAAGGAAAAGAGACACAGGGAGAGCACTGGATGGAATGCTGAGGAGCTACAAGCCCGCACAAAGCAAGCTGCATCCAGGGGCCGCCCTCGCACAGTGATCAGAGCAGTGAAAGTGGTCTCTGAAGATGGACACAGTAGTGCACACCTGTAATCCCAGCTACGTGGGAGGCTGAGGCTGGAGGACTGCAAATTCAAGGTCAGCCTGGGGAACTGAGTGAGACTGTCTCAAAATAAAATAAAAAGAATATAACTTAGTGGTATCATGCCCCTGGGTTCCATACCCAGTACTGAAAGAGAAAAAAAAAAGTGGCCCTATAAAAGACAGTGAAGAGCCAGATGTGGTGGTACACGCCTATAATCTCAGCACTGTGGGAGGCCGGGGCAGGAAAATTGCAAATCAGAGCCCAGCTTGGGCAATTTAACAATTTAGGAATACTCTGGCTAGAAATAAAAAGGTCCAGGGGTGTAGTCTAGTGAGATGGCCCTGAGTTCGATTCCCAGTAACACCATACCACACACACATACACATGCACACACACAGAGTAAGCAGCTATGCAAGAGGAAACTGGGTCTATGAGAACCATGGGGGATTGGGGTGCGGATGAGGCTAGCAGCTCTAAGAACCAGACCGTGTGCAAGGGTAACTTCCTGCCAAAAAAGTGAGAGAGCTGTAATTGGCCAGCATCATCACAGCTGTTTTTAAACTATTAACATCACTACCTGAGACCCAACTCTGAGCCTCCTAGGACCGGGTACAAACATCTGCCTGAAGCCACTCACCTCTGAAGTGTGCAAGTGGATGTACTGGTAGTGAGGAGGAAAAAGAACCCACACAGGTGGAGGAAAACCCCTAGGGAGAACCGCAAATGCCTTTTGTTTAAAATGGCCCAGCCAGCCAAGCTCAGAGAACATATGGCCATTTATTTTCAAGAGACAAGGTTACTTCTGCTGCCTAAAAATGGAAATTCTTTCTTCTTTCCTTCTCTCTATCCCATCAGACATGAAGAAGAAGGAGGAGGAGGAGGAGGAGGAGGAGGAGGAGGAGGAGGAAGAAAATGTCCCCTCTGCGCACCTGTAATCTACTTGATGATTTACCCCACACCTTTCACAGTCACCAAAAAGGAAGGCTGGCGGGCACATCTAGGCTTACCTGAGGCCGTGGAGTTACAGGCAGTGCAACAACTTTCTAGTGCACTCAGCCCGAAAGAGGTGGGGCAGGGCTTGTGACACCTGGCCCTCTTCCTCCTCCGACTGCTCCTTATGGACCCATGACCAACCCCTCTACTGCATCCTCCTTCCCCAACCCAAAATGCTGCCAACCAGGCCCTGAAGCCAACCTGCTTCCTCCCCTGCTAGGGGTCCTGCAAAGGACCTTGCCTTCTCCCTGACTGAGGCACGAGGGTGGTCCTGTGCCCAGAGCTCCACCCTCCACAAAGGAAACTGTACTGCCCGCCAGTGAGCACAGACAGGAAGGACCACAGCACCCCTACACTGCACAGCTTTTGTTTCTTTTTAATGGTGCTGTGCTAAGTGCTCTATGACGACTGTACAAAGTAGTTTTGCAGATGTAGTGGGGTGGGGGGCAGAGACCTTTAAGTCCCTTGTCCGAAGGTTACACAGATGGAAATAGCTGAGTAGGAACTGGAATGCTCTCCCCATCCATGGTCCGACTGCAGACCATGGAGGGTTCACCATCTTATTTCCCCCAAACCTCAATTTCGGACCCACAGACAAAGGGACATTTTCCCACCTAAGCTGTCCCTGGAGACCAAACTCAAGTGTGTGTTTGTGGAAGGGGCCCAGTGGGAGAGGAGAGTGTTCCTAAACCTGGACCTTCCCCTGTCTACAGCAACCTCCCTTCACCTGGCCACCACTCTCCTGGCTGGTCCTGCCCCACCCGGTGAATCTCTGTCATCCCCTGTCTGCCTCTTCCTCCTCACCTCCTGTTCTCTCCCACAGACACCAGCACATGTTAAAGATGTTTCCACTTTATAAATCATCCCTCTCTGGCAGCCACCCGAGAGCTGCTCCCCGAGCAAGGCAAACTCGGTGCCCCATGGGACCTTCCCGTTGGAAGGAGCAGCACCCCTAGGAGCAGACTTGGAGTTTGCATTGCTGGGGAAGAGAGGTTACTGGGAATAAAAAATCATAGTTTCCCGTTTTCTGAGGGGTATCTCCTGGCTCCCACGCCAAGCAAAGAGCGAAGGACAAAGCAGCCCTACAGGGGGCCAAAAGTGCTGGCCCAGGCAGGCGGGGACCGCCGTCGTTTGCATGTCATTTGCATGTTACTGCCCCTCCTCTCCAGCCTCGCGGTCGACCCCCTGAGGAGTACGCTTCGGCCCTGAGCAGCCTGGTCCCAAGCTGGGGGATGTGGATCTGAGACCCAAGTGGCAGCCAAACTCGCGCAGGCCCCCAGGCCCGAAAACAAAAACCGAGAGGACTGCTCGGGAGTCCCCTGGAGCTGGTGCCCTCGCTCCCACCGCCCGCGTAATCTCCCGCGCTGACCTGCCCGCCTTGGTAATGATCATCTCGGTGCCCGCCTCGTGGAACTTCTTCCAGAGCTCCTTCTCGTGCAGCCCCACCTTGATGTTCTCGATGGTCTGGGGGTGGGAGGGAAGGAGGGGGGCTCCTGTCTGCCTGGTCCGCGGCTCCACGCGGAGCCCGCGAAGGGAGAATGCGGACCCAAAGAAGCCCGCAGACCACGCCAGCCCAGGAGCCTGCGCCTCTAGATTCCGTTTCACAAAATGATGTTGAACCAATGGTGAATTTTAAAAATTTAGTCAGTGGTTCAAAGTCCTGCAGGGGACCCACAGTGACCGTGCCGGCGTAGACCACGCACCCCTACACAAACATCACCACTTCCCGTAGCCACAGGCCTGCGGGCCGACCCGCGGACCTGGGAGAAGCCAGGGCGGATCCACACACGGGAGTCACTCGTCGTGGGGATCACTGGGGTGACAGGGCTGTCTCGGGAGGCCTCGAAGCCCGGCAGCGCCTGTGCGCACCCTGGCGCGGTGCGGTCGGCTCACCGCGAGGCTCGGGGCTCTCGCCTCTGCCCTCGGGGGCCCTCCGAGCTGGGTGCTGGGCTCCGGCTCGCTCCCCTGCTGCAGGGCTCCCCCCCCCCCCCCCCCGGCTGCCCGAGCAGCCCCGTGCTCCAGGTGGAGAAGGGCCCGGAAGCAGAGGGCAGAGCTGTGCCCGTGGAGAAAGAAGGGGCAGAGCGTGCGGACTCTGCGGGTCCCGGGAGGCAGCGCAGCCCGCATCAGCCGGGCGTCTGGCGCCGGGAGACAGACCGACGCCCGCCGAGGACCACCGCGGGGATGGCGCAGCCCTACCTGCTCGGCGGCGGTGGCGGCGGAGACGTCGGTGCCTGGGGCCGGGGGGCTACCGAGCGCGGCTCCGCTGAGGCCCGGCGCTGCCAGCGCGGGCTCGGGGGCGGGGGCGGCGCTGCCCTCGCCGAGCGCTGGGCCCGGGGCCCGGAAGGCCTCCTCGCTCTCCGACAGGCCCTTGTCCTGCAGCATCTCCTGCGGGCACAGCACCAGGGGGTTACTCGCCCAGACGCGCACTGGCCGGAGGCCCCTCGGCCCTCCCAAGGAGCTGGGGGTTTCGCACGCGGGGCGTGGACCCCGCCCCCTTCCAGCCCGGAGTGGGGTGCGTGCTGGGAGGGCAGGACCCTCGCCTCCTCCCTGTGGCTCTGGACCTGGGAGGGTCTGCCTCCCCTGGGTGTGGGGCTGTGTGACTGGGGAAAGGACCGCCCTCTCAGCACAGCCCCAGCTGTACCCCCAGTCCCTCCCTCCTGCTGGGCTCCAGGGGCCTGGGTCTCCTTGTTCCTTCCGGGATAACTGGGGTCCAGGCCTCACTTTTGGCCTGGGGCAGCCAGGACCCTTCCTGGGCTGGGGTAAGAGGCAAGGCAGGCGAGGGAGGGCCTGGGCTTACGCAGTTCCACACCTGCAGAGAGAGCGAGAGCTGGGCGGCCCTTTCACCTCTGCTCACTCGTCTGCCCTCAGATGGCACTGGGTTCCTGAACCAAAGGCTTCACTCCTGCGCATTTCCACTGGGGCACACACATCCTCACAGGAGGACACAGCATCCACACGCAGCCTCCTCCTCACCTCACCTCGGGCCCTAAACTCTGCCAGGGCCCTCCCAGCCTGTCCGCACACTCACACCCACTGGCTCACCCTCTCACTTTAGTTCCAGAGGGCTCTCCTTGGGGCCAAAGGACCCAGACCCTTCCTGGATGGGGACAGGCGAGTAGCACGGGTCCAGCTCCCAGGCACAGCGTAGTTTTGCCTCAGCTCTATAGCCCCAAGTGCCTGGGCCTATTTTCCCACCCACCCTTATAACTGCTCCCAGCCTGCAGCTGGTCCTGGGATACCAGGAAAAAAGCTCAGCTTGCAAAGACCAGCATCCCCCCAGGAGGGGTGCAGCCTGCACTATCCCTGCTTTCCTTCCTCCCTGCCTGGTTGTCCATGCTCTGAATCTGGCCAAGTTCAGGTGGGCTCTCTGTGTGTCTGACTGCCTGTCTGTTGTGTGGGGCAGTGTCTCCGCTTTCTTCTACTCTTTTTCTGTTCTCTCCTGGATCTCCCCAGACTCCCCATCCTGGGTTTAAGTTAGGCTCCCAGGGCCGGCAAAGTAAACAAGCCAAGTGCAACCAGGAGATAAAAAGGGGCCGGGGCCAGCTGGGGCTGGGAAAAGCCCATAAAGATAAGCCTGACAGCCCAGAGAGTCCTCGGCCACAGCCAGCAGGGAACAGGGCTCCCGCCGGGACAAGGCTGTCCCCAGCACCCATCTTAGGCCACATGCGGGTTGTGGGCAAAGCACGGTTCCCACTCGATGTGGGCCCCGGGATGGAGGCTCCTAGGTGCGGCGGCTCGAGGGGCGGGGCGGGGACCTGGCTACCAAGTCCTCTGCCAGGCACTTGCCGCACCCGGAGCCGCACTGGGGAGCCGGTCGGCTCGCACCCCACACTCAGCCCTGCTGAGTGCAGAGCACAACCACGGACACAGGCCCTCTGCGCGCACTGGCGACGGAGGTTACGCTCCGCTCCCCTTCCCCTCCTCGGAGCTGGCCTCCTCTTCCAGGCGTCGGAGCCACACGCTAACCTCGAGACAACTAACTTTCTCCGAAGATCCCCGCCAGTGTCCTTTCCCCCAGCCCGACCCTGAGCGGCGGTCCCCGCAGTTCCCTCGGACCCCGAGCCCCGCGCGCTCCTTGGGGTCCCGCACCCCGCCGCGGGCCGGACTGGAGCTCTGCGCCGCACCCTTCCGTTGGCCCTCCGCGGCCGCGGCCGTGGGCTCCGCTCCTTCCGAACTGGGGTTTGTGGCTTTCGACTGCCTCATTTTCCAAGGACGGCAACATTTTTCTTTTCACTTTTAGATTACTTAGTAATATTTTTCTCACAGTGGGAAAATTGTTGCTATTTTTACTAGTTTTAATATTTGCCCCCATTATCAGAGCAGTATCAGTTCAAGTAACGTTAACTGTATTTACCCTCGCATGTGAATTGTCAGTGCTTTTTATCTTTAATAATGTGTGGTTAAAGCACTGGTTAGATTCATTAATTTATCAGTATTAAATATGTTGTCGTTGCTTTCCTGTAACCGCTTCAGCCTTCCAGGGAACCCTGGCCCATTAGTAATAGTGTTGCCAATATCTAGGTAATCGGATTCCAATAGGTCGGGCTAATCCTTCCTTATTTTAATTTTACTCTGTATCCCAAAAATGTTTCCGTTTCTAGCTCTTCATTGTCCTTAGACTTTGTCACATCTTTTGAATAACATGTTATTTTCCATAACTTGTAATAGCGTTGTTCTCAATATTCATATTAATTTTGTCAATCCTTATATTTCTTATTATCGTACTACAATTTGTTTTATTAGGATTGCTCCTAATACTCTAGGTAATATTCTTCATCACATCGTTACAGTATCTTGTTACTTTGTCATTATTTGTAATGTTACAGATCTTAATTCGCTCCTTATTTTTCATCACATCATTACTGCTTGTTACTTTGTCATAATTTGTAATATTGCTGTGGTTCTTAATAGTCTGATTATTTTTCATCACATTGAAACAATATTTCTTATTGCTCGACCATTATTTATAATGTTGTTGTGACTATTAATACCTTGGTCATAAATTGTCATATTACTCCAACAATTCTTATCACTGTGTATTTATATTGCTATTGCTCCTGAGATTTTGCTCTGTTTTAATACTTCACTATGGTGTCAATAATACATTATGCGATAGTAGTCTAGCAAAACTAATAGTATTTTCCTTAATAGTATTTTTCATAGTTCATCTTTTCCTACAATTTGCTTCTTCGAGTTGCCTGTAGTTTAGTACTTTGTTACATTATTATCATGTTATACAATTGCTATTCATTTTAATATACTACTCTTACATTGTTTCTATATCTAGTTACTTTGTTTTTAATCCTTATAAGCTATGATTACTATTTTCACTGGATTTTGAAAGTGACTATTATTGTATTATTTTGAAGTGCAAGTGTTGTGTCAGTAATGCTGTTTAGCCCTGTTTCTTTGGTAATTGCTCACATTCTGATAATCCTGATCATCGATCATTATTTATACATAATGTTCTTTGATTTAATTTTGACAAGCCTGTTGTATCAAAGACTCTGAAGCCCAGTGTTCTGATCACTCACATTTCTGCATCAATTTTCACTGCCAGTCCCCGGCCTTCTTTCTTTTCTTATTCGGCAAATATCAATTTCAAGGACATCACTCCTCCTGTCACAGCTTAACCTTGTTTCTAGGGTGCGGCCTCTGCCCTGTCTGTGCTCTGGAGTCTGAGACGCAGTTCGCCCCGCTACCCGGAAAGGAGGACTTGAGCCTCTCAGCCTCGGGGTGTCTGTCCAGCGAGGACTCCGCACCCGACCCGAGGCTCTCACCTTCCTGCAGCCTTGACCGCCCCGATGTTCTCACCCCGGCCGGCCGCATCACTGGTTCCTTTTCAGCTCGTCCTGCTCCACTCTGCAGCCTTAACCCGGGTCTGGGTGGCCCCAACCCCCGCAGGTCGGGCTTACCCCATCCGGCTGGAACCAGCACTCACCTAACTGCGCTGCCACATGCGGAGGCGCCTGCGGCCCGAGGTCCACTGCAGGCTCGGGACCGAGGAGCGCGGGGCAGAGCGGGCTCCTACTCTGGGCCGTGGGTCAGGGACTCGCAGCCCGCCGCGCCCTCGGGGCCGGACGCATCTCCGCTACGGAGCGGGCCCGTGGTCTCCGAGGCTGCACTTCGGGGCCGCAGCTCTCTCCTCCTTCCTCCCTCCCTCCCTCTCGCCCCCCCCCGGCTCTGACGTCGCCGCTGTCAATCAGTCCGCGCCCGCCGCCCCCGGGCAGGGGGGCTCCAGGGTCCCCGGCTCTGCGGCTCTCCCCCATCCCAAACCCCGAGCGGGCCGTCAGCTCCTCCACCGCGCGGCCTGGGGCCCTCCCCACGGCCCTGGGACCCCGCCGACCGGGTAGGGGCCGGGGGTCCGCATGGTTTAGATTAGAGAGCGAGGCGAGGGCGTGCGGCCCGGCTGCACCCGGGGGTGGACGGCAAGGACTGTTCTCCCGGCGCCTCCAGCCGCCGGCCCGCCGCGGCCCACTCCCGGGCAGCCGCCCACGGACCCCTCCGCTCGCCAACCCTCCCTGCCCCGCGCACCGTGGATTCTGCCCCATTTCCCGGGGTCGCGGGCGCACGAAGGCCTCGCAGCCCCACACGCCCTCGATCCACCGCGCCCACCCCGGCCTCACACCTGCAGGCTCCGGCCACCGGGCACGGCCCCTCCGTCCCCTGCCTCTTCTCTTCCCGGCCCAGGGCCGCGGGCGCCCGACCCAGCCTGGCGCGCCTCGGAGCCTGCGGCCGGCCGAGGTCACGGAGGAGGGCAGGGAGGAGGCCTCGTGGCCGGGCCTGGAGCGGCGGCGCCGGCGAGGTGCTGGGCCAGTCTCCGAGTAGGGGCCTAGGCCCGGTTGAAGGTGCCAGGCTTGGCAGAGCCTCTTGGGGAAACTGCAGCGAGGGCCAGGACTCCGCCAGCAGGTCCCTGATCCTACACAGCTGAGGACGAAGCCCAGCGCCAGCTACTGCAGACTAGGAAGCGGGAAAGGGAAAGAGCCCTGCTCTGAGCCAGCAGCCTCCGTGCCTCAGAAAGGAGCCCAGCTCGGCCGCCTGCCTGCTGCCCTCTGGGCCCTCTTGGCTCTACCTATTCCTTTCTTCTGTCTGTACCGCCGCACCCGCCCCTGAGCTTCCACAGGCGGACAGACCCACGGCGACCTCAGCCCATGCCCAGCCTCCCAGTTTGTCACACACTGGGGACATTGAGGCAATGATACACCTGCGCACCCATCCTCAAAGGCCCCAGAATCAACCAGGATCCCTAGATTGTCCCTCAGTTCTCAGCGTGTGCAACATCCCTCCCTCCACTAGGGTCCCCAGCCTCCCCAGTCAGCCATTTCTCCAGATTCTGAGCACAAAATCATATTGTGGGTAAAGGCACGGGTCTGTGCTTTTTT